GCTAGTATACTGCAACTAACAAACAAGCCATCACAATCAAACTCATTCTACAAGAAACATTTGGTTTAACAAATATAATTCAACTAAACAAATAACAGACAAACAAGTTTCTTATATAATTAATAATGTCATTATCTCTATTTTTGAATACCATATATATAATATAGTACTTCTTCAACACATATGTGACAAAATTTTATCCAGATATCTTACTGCTGCCAAACACAAATCTAAACTTGCACTAACTACTTTTACTAGCACTATGCTAAACTATAACATATATAATATCAAAAATGTTTAGGATATCTAGCTATAACATCACATTATCAACTTTCTAATTTGACTGAACACAACAGATCTACTTGGAACTAATACACATATCCAATTATAGCAATTACAAAATAACCTGTAGTCTACTACTAATATCTTACAACATCCACATTCACTAATAGATGGCTCAATTAAAAACACAACAATATATCAAATAATACTACTACTTTGACATTTACAATTTACAATTTCTGCACATATAACATTACCACATACACTACAATAACTATATACACTAATTAAAAACATTCTCAAAACACATAAAGAATACAACAACTTCAAAAAACAATTATGAACTAAACACATCCTCTATCTTGAACAATTAACCTCATTGAATAACTTTACACTTCTAGACTGAAAACACATTTCACCAAGACTCAAACAAATTCCTACAAGACATAAACCAAAATGGTTCACAATATTAAAAGAAAAAACTATTATACATTCTCTTATTAGAAAACTCAACTCTAATCTGAGTCTTTCACAATTAACTCCTTATCTTTTACAACTGGACATTACAATTCAAATTCAAAACCTTGGCTTATTACTGTTGATTACAATAGTGAACAATTAATAATAGGAAAGACATGCAAATATAACCAAAACAACAACATTATATCCATTATACACTAGACAATCAAAGAAAATGTACCCAAACAAACCTCTATCTACTCTTATCAGTTAATTGTATACCTTGTACAGGATGTTTACATAACTCTAACAAAATACTAAACCACTGTACATTTGACATTTCTGCTACTTTTTTTACAAAATTTTTAGGAAAAAAACAACAAAATCCTACAAACAAACTTAAGCTTAATGCAAATTATACAGATCTAGTTAAAGCATGTCATTATAATTAGCTAATTACTACAATTATATTTACTATATATATTTTTACAAAGTCTTTTTGAAACCATAATTGTAGTAATAATTCTTACATGTAGTAAAAATTACTACATGTTGTAAATATTATATACTGTATATAGTAATATAGTAATTACATATATATAGTAATCATAACATATGACAAATATAATATATATATCGATATATATAGTAATTACATTTGTAAAAAAATAATTATTCATATCTAGGTGTGTTATTCTTTTCTGAACCAGATGTTTAAAATAATACACATGTATGCCTTGCATAATGCAAGTTCTTAGTTGATATTTTAATCTTTATTATATTATAAATAATGCTTGAAGCATGATGTCTTACATCTAGTTCTGATATAATGATCCAAGATGGGCAAGTAAAAATAAGGATGTCAACAATTATATAAAGAGATTACACTGATTCGTATAATTATATTATTGAATAAATATATTTATCAGATAAACTAAACATATCAAAAAAAAAAAAGTATTCTGCAGCTTGGTTTGATAGTATTCAAAAGGTTGGTAATTTTTGTGAGCCATCTAGAGTTGTTATACTTAAGACTTTGTTCAGTTCTAATAAAAATCTTTATGATCTTTTAAAAAAACTAGGTTATTTAATTTTGATAATCATATAAATGTATTATATCAATCATAGAAGATGAGACTTCAGGTTTTTGATTATATTTTGTATCAAACACATCTATTTAATTTATTAGAGATTGTGTCCAGAACAAAATATTATTGAAAGTCTGAAGTCTCATTTTCTCTTAGCAGCATTTATATCAATTAACTTAATACAAAAAAAAATACAATATTTAATAAACTGATACTGAAATTTTTTATAAGTACTTAAAAATAGAAATTTGAAGTTTTATCTAGCAGATTAAATTAAAGTTACTTCATAGTATTTTAAAACATTCATAATACAAGGTGCATTTATACAGATTTTTATAAGTCAAGATCTATAAATTATGTTTATGAGGTTTTGTCATACAGTACTTCTAAAGCTTTACAAGATCAGTTATTTATAAAAGCTGCTAACATTTGTGACTTTGAAGTTGCTATGCCAACAGAACCAAGACCTTAGAATTTGCAATAGATTACATTATAAATTTGAGACTCACAATTGCTTTATTAAATTGCATTGTTCTAGTCTGATCTATTATTCATTAATAATTTATATTTAAAAAAAAAATTAGGCACAGAATATTATATAGTAGTTTATTTAAGATAATATATTAATACATTATCCAACTTAAAATTTTTATTTAGCAAACATCTTATCAACTAAATTATCTACATTATAGTCATAATTTGGTTGTTCTTCAACTACATTTTTAGAATTTGATTCTATACTATTACTTTGACCTTTTTCTGTAAAAATTTCATAATTTAAGTCAAAAGTTTCTTCCAATTTTAAAAGCTCATCCAACAATTCAAATTCTATTTTATCATTTTTAATAGAGCCTTTATCTGAATTATTATCATTTAACTTCTCAGCTTTGTCTGCTATAGTTAATACATCTTCTAAAGTAAGCTTACGATTAATATAAGAAATTTCTTCTTTGGCATATGTTGTGTAATATTGATGAATCTTTGCTAATGCTTCTACTTTTTCAAATGCTAATCTGGTTCTTTTTTTTCTATAGATTCATCTCAAAGTTGAAAAAACTCTTTCACAAGAGGCAGAATGCAGAATAATATTAAGAAGTTTAATTGATAAAGTAGAAAGATGATTGTAAACATCTTCAATTGTTTTCTACCATGTTTGTGGTGTTTGGCAATCAGGTTTGAATGGTTCATTATAAGGTGGTTCATTTTCTTTGTAGGAAGCAAGTTGTCCTAAAAGTTGTCGGCAAGAGCTTTCAGTATTACCAAAAGCTTTCTACAAAGCACTTGCACATTTTGAGATTTTTTTATATTAACCTTTTTTAAAACCATGACCTAATATACATATATAGTATTATAATAAATTTTAAAGTGAGCAAGCATGAAACACTATATTAAAATAACTAGATAATAAAAATACTGTATTTTTATATAACATGCTCATAAGCATTATTTCAAAAATTGTGTCATCTAAAGTAAAATGTATAGTTTCAAAATAATGCCCATGTGATCCCAAAATAATGTGCAAGTTTGAATCAATATAAGTTATCTGATTACATAAATATCTTTCTTTAGCTTAAAATAATGCATATGCATGTGCTCAAAATTATGTATATGTTTTTAAAACAACATGCAAGTAAGCATTATTACATAAAAATACAGTATACTGTATATAATAGATATATAATTTATCTTTAAATTTTGGATATAAAAAGTATACCAAATAATATACGTTATTATTAAACTCTAAAAGTTATCAGTTAATAAAAGTAATACAATATTTTCGAAAAATAGCATGTTGGTTTTGAGGTATTTGATAAATTGTAGATGCCAATTTGATTAAATGAATAAAACAGTCTGCTAATATTGAATCACAACTTTCAAGTTGGACAATGGATTCTTTAATTAGCTATAAGATTGTAGTTATAAAATATAAATTATCATAAAATGAACTCTTATTTAGAATCGCATATACTTCATTATTAGTAATAATATCCAGATTATGATCTAAAATCTTTTTATAAATAAATAACAATTAGTTTTACATAATAATAAAGTTATTAGGTTAAAAAAAATATTTTTGCTATATCGAGAGTTTATTGTTATCAACTTACTCAAACAAATGCAATCTTTAAATATAATATTGAATAAATTGTGTTATAATAACTTGACCAACAAGTTGCTATGTATTATTTAATACCTTCACCTACAATATTGTTAATCTGAATTTCATTTTCAAGTGCTAAATTTGCAATATGAGATAATATAAAAAATTAAGCAACTAGTGTTGCTTGAGACAAGATGCATTTTAAAAAAAATCTCTTCATAATATCTTTACAAATAAGATTTAGCTAATGGGCTATACATGCTATATTCATTATGTGAGGAAATTTTTGTGCAATTAGCCATCTTGCTGCTACAACATTCACACCACTATCACTCACTACAGCATAAATTTTTTCAGTTCCAATTTGAGTAGCAATTGTTTTGATTTCTTGTATAAGAAATTCTGCTATATAACATGCATTTGAATAGTTACACAAAGCATACAAATGTTCTTTTTGGTCAGGTGTTAGAAGTAAAAAATTTTAAATTAATCAGCCTCATGGATCTGTCTATTCATTAAGTACTACATATAAAATAAATATAAAATATTATTATATATTTAATTATATATATATAATATTTATATACCAGGTATAATATTATTTTTATTTTGTAGTTCATTTTCCATTTTCACTTCTACTTTAATAATTTGTTTATTAAAAATTCTTTCTGCAAGTGTTCTAGAACTAGGTATATTAAAACCTGGTCTAAGATTCTGAAGCCATGCATGAAAAATTTCATTGCCAGCAATATTAAATAAGACACTTGCACAAACAAATACAAGACACATGCTGTTTTCTAGTTGTTCTTGTTTTTTTAAAGATAATTCTTGATTTTCAACATATTTAATGATATCTTCCTTATTTTTTAAGTCTGCTTTTCATTTTTTACTTGATTTTTGATTTTTGTCATCTTCTGCTAATTGCTTAAAATAAGAAAGTTGTGCTTCCAATGAAGCTTTAGGACAACTATGCACAATATGCATCTTAAAGGTTGATACATTGCTGTATGACTACTGTTGTGGGCAATATTTCAACTAGCTGAATAATAGCCACTTTTCTTTTTTTCTATTTGATTGAAATAGTTTCAAATAGGATGAAAGGGTTATTCAGCTGTTCTTTGTTAAGTATTACTACCAGATTTTTCAGTTGAGGTAGGTTCTTCATCATCAATATTAGATGACATTTTTGAAACAAAAAAGATGATTGTTATGATCTAATGCTAAAAGTAAAAAATTTTTGTCGATTATTATATTTATATGTATTAGTAATAGTAGTTTGACTATTATATATATTATAAGTTACATTATAGAAACATTCGTGTGTTTACACACTATATATGGCAATTACTGTAAGTGCCAACTAATGTATTCAGATCTTGAGAGTATGAAGAAAGTAGAAAGGATATATTGTATTGATCAGGAATATAGTATCTAAGTATTCTTCAAGATATAAGAATGTTATTAAAATACTATTCATTAAACTTTAACATGATTGTATGCAGATATAAGTCAAATTTAAATGTATAAATTATTATAGGGTTATCTAATAGGACATGACACTTTATAGTATTTATGCTTAGATAATATCTACAGATTATTTAAATCTTCTGGTATGTAATATTATATAATAAATATCAATATTAAAAAATAAGTATTTATAATATAGTATTAACTTTTTGATAATCATACTTTACATTAGGTATAAGGTCTGATTTATTTCTCTAACCACAGTAATTTAGCTTTAGATCTTTAAAAGATATTTAAGTTAATATAAATTAAATATTCTTATGGTATTAAAAAGTAACTTATGATAGAAAAAATAGCATACTCATTGTTAATTCCTATGTTTCATCAATATTTACATCCTAGCAGATTTATTTAAATGTTTTATTCTATCTTTGTTAACTCTATACATTATTCTATTATTAGAACCATTCTAATTAGCAGATTTCTAATGATAAATAAATACTTACTATTCATCTTTTTTAATTTCTTTGCAATAATGACTTGACAATGTTCAAATGCATCCTTAACTCTGATTTCTTTATGCTAATATTATACATTTCAATAACATTTCTACTCTCAGCACATTTGAATGTTTTAATATTAACTCATTCTATTAAAATAAACAAAATCCCGATTATGCACATTCTTTTCTACTCAAATTTCTTTATCACAACAGCTCCAATATTATTTATACCTATAGTGTTCTAGATCTTAATAGATTTTTGATAATGTTCAAATACCTTATATTTGTCTTTTTCAATTCTAATTTCATATTAACATTAAATATTTCATCTATACTATTCTTTTTTTTTTCAACTCAAATTCTATATTAATAACAATAATTAATATTAAATAGTCATCTATATTGCTCATTCTTTAATCATATAGAAATGTCTTATATTTATTTTTTTTTACTCTAATTTTTCCTTGAAGACAATATCTGAGACTGTTTATATAGTTTTATGACAATAATATAGTATCAGGTAAAACTTTATTTCATTTTTGTCTTTATTATTTTTGCTTTTATTATAATATACTAACTACACTTTTATTTCTTCATAATCTACACCTTCAATCACAACCTGCGGTTATCACAATGATGAGGTTTGTATTTTTTTTTATTACTTATGAAAAGAACTTATTTGTTTCCTTATTTTATATTTATATGCAACTTTTTACTATGCATAATTACAAATATAGTAAAATAATAAACTCCACATGCACAAAAAGCTTCACTGATCTAACTGATAACAAAGCTAATACAACTTCCAAGTTTGACTAATGCATATAATTCTACTGATCTAACAGATATCGATATCCTTATTTAATATTATAACTACAAGCATATTACATACAATTAGATGCTGCAACTTTGATAAGTAGGAATCACAGAAAGATAGAGACAAAAATAGTTAATGCAATCTTATTCACTATATGATTGCTAAATAGTATAAATATAGCATATTATAGTTAATGTAGTTTATAACTATATAGTATATAATATGTATTATTGTCTGGTATATATTCAATAACTATATTTATATATTACTTACAACATGTAATAATTACTACCTGTAATAATAATTACTACTTGTAATATAATTACTACTTGTAATAATAATTACTACTTGTAATAATAATTACTACTTGTAATAATAATTACTATTTGTAATAATGATTATTACTTGTAATAATAATTATTACTTGTAATAATAATTACTACATATAATAAAATATTACTACATATAATAATATTTACTACATGTAGTAAATATTATTGCAATTACTACTTTTTGTAATAAATAATTACTACATTACTACATATTACAATTTGAATTATAGCGCTATGCTTTAGATCTAGTATACTCAATTGCATTACATAATTCTATGAGAATTCCTACACTTCTATTCATTACTTTATCACATGATCCAATCTTTTTTATTTTTCATACCAATTTATCATCTATTAAATTACAACAAATTGCAAACCAAAATGCCTAACACACTAACTTTATTTTTTATATTGATGAATCTGTTACCAATATTACTACTAATAGATGCTCAATGAACATTAGATAGATACAATTACATAACAATACTATTATTGAAACTTAATCTTTTTGAATTAAATTCTAGCCATCATTATACAAAGCTGAGCTAGTAGCTATTCTATTAGCTATATGCACATGCCCTTAAAACAGTAATATCCAAATCTATACTAACTCACAATCTGTAATTTCCAAATTTAACAAAATTACTAACAATATAATACCACAGTACAAACAATACTCCTATAACTATTGGCCAATATGGCATGCAATTATTAATTTAATTAGATTATACAAATACAATATTACACTTTACAAAGTACCAGCCTATGAAGACAACATATTCAATAATGAAGCAGATAAGCTTGCATCAAATCACAACTCAACAAATTTTCTGGACATATGATACAACAACATCTATAATACTTTATATACTATACAATATAACTAATATACTATTGAACAACCTACCCAACGAGCAATCAAAAACATCTGCAATGCACAAATAATAGCTATATAGTCATTTCAAATCAGATGAACCACATTATTCCTTTATTTTCACAAATTAACTGGAAAGCAACCTGGCTATATCTAAATAAAAACATTAACAGAACCAGCTCATATACAAAGTTTACACTTAGCAATAATAAATTCTTTAAAATTAAACTACAACTTAACATACTATCTACTCTTTTCTATCTTTACAACTTATACCTGAAAACAATAAATAACAATAGCTGTATTATATATTATACACTAGAACACTCACTACATTGGATTCTTTGTCTAAATACTATACTTCTTACCAATCTTATTTATGAAACAATAACAGAAACAATCACTCATATAACTGATATTACTAGCACTCAAATTAATGAACTATAAGAAATACTTTCACAATACAATAGCCTTTCATTTAGCAACATAACTTCACAACAAACTAACATTTATACAACATTACAAGAATATATGCCTAATAGCCTTATTTTATCAATCAGACTATTTACTCAATCACAAACAGAAGCAAAAAATATTACTACTAAACTTTTACACAAACTGTCTCAAAAAGTTTATAAACAAATATAGAAACTATATTGTACAAAACTGGCACAATGGAAATATAATAACATTCTACAGTATACTAAAAACCAACAAAGAAGACCTATATGAATTAATCATAATGATACATATTATGTTAACAGACATCAATTACAAAGTACAACCTGTAATTTATATGGACTATTAAGCTTAAAACATATTGATCCAAATACTTGTCTACTACTTAGTCATGCTTTACGTAAAATTAATTTATGGCTCGATCATTGGATACTTTACAGCTACCTTACAAACAACATTTTATACTATCAAATTTAGGTGAGTTTTAACCACTCTAGTAGGTTTAGGTTGCAGATAAATTAGATAGATAACAGTTAGTTTCTTTCTATAGTCTGAGCTTTACTCTTGTAACAAATTTGTAATTGGAATAGATTTTGTAATTTATATCCAGAGAAGTTCCTGGAGGCATCTTTAACAAATTAATAAAAATATGAGCAAAACCTCACCTTAACTCCAAAAAAATATATATATATATATTAATATATAGCAACTAATTAATATATATTAATTATTTTTAATTAATATATATTGATTAAATGCTATATATTAATACAAATTTGCTTAAAATTTTTCTGATGATGTTGAAAGTAATAATTATGTAATCAGATTTAAATGAGATATCCTCAAGAATATCAGTATAGTCAATTTAAGATATGCTTAGATTTGTCTATATTTGGTCAATTTTATTGTTTAAGATTAAGTGAGTAAAAATAAAGTTGTAAGTTAAAGGAAAGAAAAGTCAATATATATTTTTGAAGTGATAACTAATTAGATCATTAAGAATTTAAGATTCTGGAATAAAGATGTTTTTAGAAGAATTTTTATCTAAGCACAGATTAGGAATACTATTAAAATCATCAAGTATTATTAGTTGATAGTTGGAGTTGTTGCAAAGTTAGATAATTTGTTCTTGGATTTAAAACATAGTTGGTTTTTCTTTGCTATTAGAAAGTAAATTTGGAAAATGCAAATAGAATTTTGTTTAAAATATAAATTAAGACTAATTATATAGCTATTATAGTTGTATATGCTAGCTATAGTTGTTGGTAAAATTAGTTTTATAAATTAATATGGCAACAGCATATACTATATTTTTTGCTATAATTCTTTTGTGCCATAATGCTATAATGCTATAATGCCATAATGCTATAATGCTATAATGCCATAATGTTATAGTAATAAAATACTTTAATGCAAACTTTAAAATACTTTTAAAGCTAAAATTATTTATTAATTAGATATTTTTTTATAATTATATATACCAGAAACAGAGTTTGTACAATGTATAACATAATGTATAGTTTATAGATAATTCAGATATAGATGTACAAAATCTTGAATCTGATTGAATAATTGATCTTTGTGACTTTATCTTATGATTTCTGTATTAGAAACTTACTTAAGAGTGAAATATTGTGTGTAATTCTTAATATATAATTGGGTTATTCTTTGTTATGACCTTGTATAGCACCTAAACAATACTTTAAAAGATAGGTACTATGTCTCTGTATGCA